CGGTACGGTAAAGCAACGACCGGTACGGTAAAGCAACGACCGGTACGGTAAAGCAACGACCGGTACGGTAAACCGAGTCAAACTCACAGGAAACCGGCTGGGTGGTAATGATCAGTTCCCTAAGTGAGGGTATTTGAAAGCAATATTCCTCTGTCGAAGATCGGCTGGTCGATGTGAGCTACAAAATTAAGAAATTCGAGTTCAAAATCAAATCGTTCGATTTTTGCGGTAGACGTTCAACGCACTTTTTTCATGAATCTTGCGAGATCTCGCAGTTGAACAGAAAATCACCTATTGCGTCACTTTAGCTCACCCACATTGGCTGGTAATTGCTGTCTCTTTCTTTTGTAAAACTGACATACTGTAAACATTGTTATCAGATCGCAAAGACTAAAAATTGTTGCAATTATCTAACCCAGTATTATCAAACTATTTTGGGCCAAGTTGTAGTGGAAGGATACCATTATGTGAAAAGATTACGAACGAACAACAAGTCCAGTTATATTTCTTATTAGAAGAAATGCTGTATGCAATTCTGATTATAAATAAAATATTTAATTATACATACGACATTACAATCTAGTCATTTCACTTTAAATAAAAACTGTTTTAGGGCCTTTCTGAGATTAGTGGTTTGATCCAAGTATATCTTTCTACGTAATGTTTTTTACAACACATGTAGAAATACATTGTTTTACAGTAAATTTTAATATGTGCTAATCTCTGACTGCCTTGCCAACTCAGAATACATCAAAACCTTGCTGTTCAACGATGCTATCTGCTAGTGTGTTTTTCTCCAAGAGAGCTCAGTGGCACAACACATTAAATTGACCACAAAAACCCTCATTGGGAATGTTGATCCAAAGCTTGGCGAGGCAACACCTGAAAAACTGTCATGGTTTTTTTTTGCACACCACGTTGACCATGTATTGCTTCATGTATGCCTGGCATACCAAAACCAGTGATAATGGCGAATTGGCAAATAAAATTAGTGGCAGTTATTACACCAAATTCACTACATCCAATAATCTATAAAAACAATGGAAACTATGAGTTGAAGTAAATTGCAATGTAAATTTGAATCTTAACCCACTGATAACAATGTTAATAATGTCCCTATTTTACAAAAGGAAGTGACTACAATTACTAACCAACATAAGCAAGTAATATCCACGCAATTATGTTGCCTGTTTCATGCAATGGAGAATTCCTATTGAAGTTGTGCAAATTACGAGATGATCGAAAAATGACAAAGTACATTCCTAGAAATATTACGGTATATGCAAATAAGTGAGTCTGTGAAAGAACTTATTATTCACTTCAGGTCATTTTCACTGTAATGTCCTTGTGTATTCACCAAGCATGTGTTGTATGTCTTTTTATAAATGCTTCATTCATTTTTATCATGCCGCGGACATTGCTGACTAATTTGCATTCCAAGCCTCGCTTTCAGACACAATGCAATGATACGATATATAGGATTCATCGCTTATATAAATCATTAATATGCAAATAATGCAAATAATCAGCAATTGCCGTGGCATCATAAAAGTCGGACGCATTTTGTATTGATGCGTATGTAACTCGCATAAGATGGTATCGTCATCGCATATCGCTAAACACAGATATCAGTTACATACCCTTATCCTACAATCTTTATATTTCTCATGCACAAACCCACCAGAATTAGTTTCTTTACTGAGTGTTGCAATTCATAATATCGTTATTTCCTATGGTTCGTACTTTATTGCATTGCGCTCAGTATGATGGGAGCATCGAGGAGTGCGTCAGCCATCGCTGCATATCTAATGCAACAAGAGCTCACCAGTGTGGACAACACAATCACTCAAATGAGAAGAATAAGACCAAGAGTTGGGTAGGAATTATTTGTCCCTCCACTCTGACCTCTGACTGATATAATCAACTTTGACCTGAGATTTTGCTGCATTTTATTGGTCAGAGTGCAAAAATGACTAAATAGATGTTTGCCTCGCTCATAGTAATTGCTGGATCTCATATTTTTGATGAAATTGTGCAAAGAACAAAAAAAAAGAAAAAAATACCAATAGCAAAACTTTTTTACAGCGCTTAATTTTGAAGGTTTAATAAATTTGTCAACAGAGGGCGCTGTGCACTGGTGAAATATTTGGGAAAAACAATTTTGTTTAGGTCTTATAAATGTCTTGTATAACCCATTCCTCAACAAAATGAGATAAAAGACAACATACAAATGGGGCAAACAACTACTTACTAAGTTTCTGTCAAAGTATGAAATATGCACAATGAAAACATAATAACTAACATAAAACCAAAGCATTTTTTTTGAATTGTTTAACTTGGCCAGTGTCAACAATCATTTTCAAGTTCATGTTTCATTTTGTTGACAGAAGCAATTGATGCATAACAAAACATTTATTTTGTGTGGCCCATAATTGATTTCTTGTAATTTTTTTCCCATGTGATCCTGCATGTAGTTTTATGGGAATCTCCCGAAGTACCACGGTCGTCTTAGCTTATTTAATGCGCAAGGACAAAAAAACTCTGGACAGTGCTTTCTTGCATGTCAAACAAATTAAACAAGAAGTTAGGTAGGAAAGTGCATGTTTTTGCATTTTTTTTTTGCATGCTTGTTTTGTTTGTTTTTTATGTGTTTATGTTTTTTTTTTATGTGTTTGTTTGTTTTAATTTAGTTAAATTGTTGTTGTTGGTTCTGCATCTAATGCACGCTGAGAATTCTAGTGATTATTTTCCTGAACCAAACCTGCATTCTTGACTCTGCATGGAATGAATGGATTTGTGTCTCAAACAATGATTCGATTAATCATATTTTCAACCATATTCAAGGGTTTTTCTATACATGAAATAGACAATTTCCTCCATAGCCTAAAGGGTTTTCAATAATAAATTAGAACTAGGCATTT